TGGAAGAGGAGGGGAGGAGGGGGAGGGAGGAGGAGGGAGGAGGAGGGGAGGAGGAGAGGGAGGGGAGGGAGGATGAGGGGAGGAGGGGGAGGGAGGAGGAGGAGGGGAGGAGGAGGAGGAGGGAGGACGATGGAGGGGAGGAGGAGGGAGGAGGAGGGAGGAGGAGGGGAGGACGAGGGGAGGAGAGGGGAGGAGGAGGGGAGGAGGAGGGGGGAGGAGGAGAGAGGAGGAGGGGGGGGAGGAGATGGAGGAGGAGGAGGAGGAGGGGGGAGGAGCGAGGAGGGGAGAGGAGGGAGGAGGAGGAGGAGGAGGGGAGGAGGAGGAGGAGGGAGGAGGAGGGAGGACGAGGGGAGGAGGAGGGAGGAGAGGGAGGAGGGTGAGGGAGGACGAGAGGACGAGGGGAGGAGGAGGAGGAGGAGGAGGGCGAGAGGACGAGGGGAGGAGGAGAGAGGAGGAGGGGAGGAGAGGGGAGGAGGAGGAGAGGACGAGAGGGGAGGAGGAGGAGGAGGAGGGGAGGAGGAGGGAGAGGAAGGGGAGGGAGAGGAGGAGGAGGATGAGGAGGAGGAGGAGGGGAGGAGGAGGAGGAGGGGAGGAGGAGGATGGGCGAGGACGAGGGGGGAGGAGGAGGAGGAGGGGGTGAGGGGGAGACGAAGGAGGGGAGGAGGGGGAGGGGAGGGAGGAGGACGGGGGAGGACGAGGGGAGGATGAGGAGGAGGGAGGAGGAGGATGAGGAGGAGGAGGAGGGGAGGAGGGGGAGGATGAGGGGAGGAGAGGAGAGGAGGAGGAGGAGGAGGGAGGGAGGAGGGGAGAGAGGAGGAGGAGAGGAGGAGGGGAGGAGGAGGGAGGGAGGGAGGGAGGGGAGGAGGAGAGGAGGAGGAGGAGGGGAGGAGGAGGAGGAGGAGGGAGGGGAGGAGGAGGAGGAGGAGGAGGAGGAGGGAGGAGGAGGAGGGAGGAGGAGGGAGGAGGATAGCGAGGAGGAGGGGAGGGAGGGGAGGGAGGAGGGGAGGAGGGGAGGGAGGAGGAGGAGGGGAGGAGGAGAGAGGAGGGGAGGGGAGGGGAGGGGAGGAGGGGAGGGGAGGAGGGGAGGAGGAGGAGGGGAGGACAGGGGAGGAGGAGGAGGGAGGGAGGAGGAGGGAGGAGGAGGGGAGGAGGAGGGGGGAGGAGGGGAGGGAGGAGGAGGGAGGGAGGAGGGAGGAGGGAGAGGGAGGAGGAGGGAGGAGGGGAGGAGGAGGAGGGAGGAGGAGGGAGGAAGGGAGGAGGGAGGGGGAGGAGGGGGGGTGAGGGAGGATGAGGGGAGGAGGGAGGGGAGGGAGGAGGAGGAGGAGGAGGAGAGGGGAGGAGGAGGGGAGGAGGAGGGGAGGAGGGAGGAGGAGGGGGAGGGGAGGGGAGGAGAGGGGAGGACGAGGAGGGAGGAGGGGAGGAGGAGGGGAGGAGGGGAGGGAGGGAGGAGGGAGGGGGGTGAGGGGAGGAGGAGGAGGGGAGGAGGAGGGGAGGAGGAGGGGAGGAGGAGGAGGAGGGAGGGAGGAGGGGAGGAGAGGGAGGAGGAGGAGGGAGGGAGGAGGGAGGAGGGAGGAGGGGAGTGAGGGAGGGGAGGAGGGGAGGGAGGAGGAGGGAGGAGGGAGGGGAGGACGAGGGGAGGAGGGGAGGGGAGGGGAGGGGAGGAGAGGGAGGAGGGAGGGAGAGGGAGGAGGAGAGGAGGGAGGAGGGAGGAGGAGGAGGAGGGAGGGGAGGAGGAGGGAGGGAGGGGAGGGGAGGAGGGAGGGAGGGAGGAGGAGGAGGAGGAGGAGGAGGAGGGGAGGGGAGGGGAGGAGGGAGGGGAGGAGGAGGGGAGGGAGGGGAGGAGGAGGGGGGGTGAGGGGAGGAGGAGGAGGGGAGGGAGGGAGGAGGGAGGGGAGGAGGAGGAGGGGAGGATGAGGGAGGAGGAGGAGGAGGAGGAGGAGGGAGAGAGGCGCGGCCAGGTGGAGCGGTGGCGCTTTGTTTGTTTGTTTGGAGTTTGGTCGGTTGATTAATGGTCGGGGACGTATCGTTGGGCAGAATCACTCCGGAGCAAATTGGACGGAGAAGAGACGAGTCACTCTGTTTGGGTTTGTGATTTGGAGCAGTCTGAGCTCCAGAGACGCCCTGTCATCCCGCTCCTCTCACCTGTCTGTCCTCTCACCTGTCTGTCCTCTCACCTGTCTGTCCTCACCTGTCTCTCTCACCTGTCTGTCTCTCTCACCTGTCTCACCTGTCTCTCTCACCTGTCTGTCCTCTCACCTGTCTGTCCTCTCACCTGTCTGCCCTCTCACCTGTCTGTGCTCTCACCTGTCTCTCTCACCCTGTCTCTCACCTGTCTGTCCTCTCCCCTGTCTGCCCTCTCACCTGTCTGTCCTCTCACCTGTCTGTCCTCTCACCTGTCTGTCCTCTCACCTGTCTGTCCTCTCACCTGTGTGCTCTCTCACCTGTCTCTCTCACCTGTCTCTCTCACCCTGTTCTCTCACCTGTCTCTCTCCTCCTCTCACCTGTCTGTCCTCTCACCTGTCTGTCCTCTCACCTGTCTGCCCTCTCACCTGTCTCTCACCTGTCTGTCCTCTCACCTGTCTGTCTCTCACTGTCTCTCAACCTGTCTGTCCTCTCACCTGTCTGTCCTCTCACCTGTCTGTCCTCTCACCTGTCTGTCTCTCACCTGTCTGTCCTCTCACCTGTCTGCCCTCTCACCTGTCTGCTCTCACCTGTCTGTCCTCTCACCTGTCTGTCCTCTCACCTGTCTGCTCTCACCTGTCTCTCTCACCTGTCCTCTCACCTGTCTGTCCTCTCACCTGTCTGTGCTCTCACCTGTCTCTCTCACCTGTCTCTCTCACCTGTCTGCCATCTCACCTGTCTGTCCTCTCACCTGTCTGTGCCTCTCACCTGTGCTCTCACCTGCTGTCCTCTCACCTGTCTGTGCTCTCACCTGTCTGCTCTCACCTGTCTGCTCTCACCTGTCTGTCCTCTCACCTGTCTGTGCTCTCACCTGTCTGTCCTCTCACTGTCTGTCTGTGCCTCTCACCTGTCTCTCTCACCTGTCTCCTCTCACCTGTCTGTCCTCTCACCTGTCTCTCTCACCTGTCTCTCCTCTCACCTGTCTGTCCTCTCACCTGTCTGTCCTCTCACCTGTCTGTCCTCTCACCTGTCTGCCCTCTCACCTGTCTCTCCTCTCACCTGTCTGTCCTCTCACCTGTCTCTCTCTCTTTTTCTGTTTTTCTTTTGTTCTACTGGAAATTCCTGAAAGTGTTTTTTTTTTTTTCTCTGAGAAATTAAATCCCTGAGTCCAGTTTCTCTGCAGAATCAGATTTGGATGATTCTGAAATCTGTTTAATATTGCTGCGTTTCTGACCGCGACGTCAGGGCGTCCAGTTCACAAAACAAAGTCTATGTGGACGTGCGTCCAGGGAATAATGTGTTTTTGCAGCGCTTCTTCCAGAAACAGCCACTGAGGATCTGGTGTCTTCAGTGTTCAGACGTCCACAGCATCTGATGCCTGAGTTAAAAAGGCTGAACTTTTGGCATCAGAAATGCTGCGTCAGCCAATCAGGGACCGACCTCCAGTGACGGAGCAACGTGGATTATAAATATATAAACACCGCAAACATGATCACCTCCACTGATGGTTTATGTACTAAAAACCAGTGTTGAGCAAGTTCACACTTTTCATGAACTAGTTCAAAGTTCAGTTCATTTTATTTTTAGGTGAGATCTGTAAATGAACGGCTGCACTTATTTTTCAAACTGACTTGGAGTTTACAACAACCATACAACATATAAACTATGTTATATACGACTCTCGAGTCACATCAGTCCGTTTGACATTATAATGTGTTTAATTCAGCTTTGACACATTTGTCTTACAGAAGCGAAAACTTAAAACCACTTGGCTCATTTGCATAAACTGAGCTGATGCATCAGCTTCTGTGGGACTAAAGGACACGACTCTGTGTGTTGTTTCTGTGTCAGAGGGACGTCAGAATGTACTGAAAGTGAATGAGGACGGCTCCTCTGCACACGCTCGGTGTGTGTGTGGAGCAGCTCTTCAGAAAACAGGATCCATCCTATTTTTTGAGGCTCTACGTGAGCGTAGGGAGAACATCTATTGTTGTGTTTGTGCTTTTACCATCAGCACATCGAGCTCCTGAGGCAGATCTGTGTCGTATCGACTGTTCATTAGTGCTTTGAAATAAACTTTTGAAATCCTGGTGTTTGCCGTGGTCAGTCTGTACAGAAGGTAAAAACAAGTCTGTTCAGCTGTTAGTTTCACTGAAGCTGATACAAGCGACTAAACGCCTCAGTCAAGTCTGATCGTCTTTACATTGACAAACACAGAGTCAGAGCCGCTCGTGTTCGTCCTGCTGCAGTCGCCTGTGGAGCCGCCTTCGTTACGCGCGACGACGCTGACGAGTGCCTTATTACTGGACGTTTAATTTAACCCCAACAGTGACGTACGTCGTTCATCTCACATAATTTGAACAAATTCACGTTCAAGTTCTTGATTTACAAATGTGTTGCCTTCAGTTCAAAGTTCACTGAAAAATGAACGTGTTCTTTTGAACTCGTTCATGCACAACACTGATAAAAACACTAAACGACACTCTGTTGACCGGGAAAACAAGGCACTCGCCGAGTGCAGCGGACGTCCTGGACATGTGTCGGGGACGTCTGAACTCAAACACAAAGGAGTCTATCTAGAGGCTCCCAGCACATTTTTTGATGCCGCAGTCTGGACACAGTTTTAGAGACACATGTAGAACTCCCCCAGCACGGTGTCACTGCAAATGACTCCATGGAGACAAACCAATGACAGATCATCAGCCAGAAAAGTTACATGGAGTTCCTTTAAAACATTCAACTGCCACTTCACTGATGTAAAACTGTGATAAATATTCACCACCGAAACCAGCGACCGAAACAAACCAGAAAACAAAAACACAACACACGCACAAGCTCCATGTGATTACAGCAAACAGGCGAGTGTCAGGCAGACGTACCTATATTTGCGGTGCGGACGTGCAGTCGGCCCCGGAGCACGGTGTGGACGCTGAGGGACCAGTCGGGGCCCCGGTCTTCGCTCGGCCCCTGCGGCTCTTCTCCCACGTAGTCTGTGGTCAGGACGTCGAGCTCGTGCAGCGTCTGGACCGCCGCCCTCCCCTGACGCAGCAGACACTGACCACACACACGCACAAACACAATAAACACACTGTCCTGTCCAGTACTGATACTTCCTGTCCTACATAGGTCTCTATGAGTGGAATGTTCAGCAGTTACCATGGTGACGCAGCGCAGATAATAGAAAATACAAGAAAAACTTGAGAAAAAAAACACAAAATGGATTTAAAGAGCGTGTTTTCAGGAGCCTGTGATCAGTCCGAGCGTTCGTGGTCGTGTTTAGGAGTTTGAATTTCAACAAAAAAATCTTTCTATCTTCATGGAACTCAAACCAGACCAAGTTTCAGGTCAGATCTGTGGAGAGGCGACCCCCACTCACAGTCAGTCAGTCACCACCTGTAACTGAATAAACGTAAAGTAGAGCTCTTTAACTGATATTTATTATTTTTTATAATTTTTTTAAATAATTTTCATAGATGAACAAATTTCTATTGATTTTAACAGATTTTTATTGATGTTTATTGATTGTCTGAACTAAATTCAAAAATTTTGTAAGTTGTTTATTCAACAAAAATAAGCAGCATTTTTTCATTTCCAGGTTAGAATTTCAGCTCATTTTCCAATCACAAAAGGATTTTCTAGGCTCAAGGTTGAATTTGAGTTTCTCTAAAACTACGTCGTTAACAATGTCGTATAAATGTACATTAAAAAAAATAAAAAATAAAAACTTTTGTGCTGTGAGATTTTGTCCAGTGACAGATAAAAACAGGATTTTCGTCTAAACTCCTCTACAGATGGAAAATAGACTCTAATTCTTTTAAATTTTAAGGGTTTTTTTCCTTTCTAATGACATTTTTACATAATTTTTAAAGTAAAAAGTGTAATTTAATTCCCAAATTTGGTTTCAGAATTTTAATTTACTTCACTTAAAATGTGTGTTATCATTCTGTCAGTCTGTCTTTTTGGGAACTGCAGCTTCTCAAAAGACGCAACTCACAGCACTTAATCTTTTTTTTATTTATTTATTTTTTGTCCAATCCAAACGGAGAGATGAAATGTGTGCACAATCTAAATTTTTACAGAATAAGTGCGTGTGGCTGGAGACAGATTAAGTGAATTAGTGCAATATGTGGCGCAATATATCTGTTTTGAAATGTTTGAAGTGTATTTTGTGTTCTGCTTTTTACTTTTTTCCTCCTTTTTTATCTTCTGTCCGAGTTTCAAAAGAGTCAAAACGAGCTCCTTCTTTTAAAGTTCCGGGCTGGACCACGTGTATTATTTTGTACGGGGGTTTTAGGTTTGGTGTTTTATTGGTTTAGGGGTTTTAAAGTTTCATTGGTGTTATAGTTTTAGGAGTTTTATGTACATAGTTGGTGATTTTAATAGTTATTTGGTTTTTGGTTTATTTTATGGAGGTTTAGGTCAAGATTTTAAGCTAATAATAATTTACCGCCCCTGTTTCAGCTCTAGTAGTTTCATCCAATTAGTCAGACCAGTATAAAAGGCGCCTCAGTACATCAGTCTGTGTCCTGCCCAGGGAATAAGAGTTTTAAAATTTTATTCAAGTTTCTCAGGGAGTGAGTTCTGCTGCCGCTGGAGAGGAAACATTTCGCACCCTGCACTTTTTGCACTTGCACTTTTTTGTGTGTAATGACTGAAAAGAGAAAGTAAACTGTGGACCACTGCTTCCCGTCTTTGTCTGGATTTTTCGGTAACACTTTATAATAACTACACCTTATTTAGCCTTAATAAAGCATGAACAAAGACTTAATTAATAATGATTCACGCTTAGTAACTACTTAATTACTACCTGAATTAGCACTTAACTTGCACTTAATTCACCTGTGCTGTAAATAGTTACTCAATACTTTTTAATCACTCATGAACTAACCATTTGCATGTTTACAAATGTATATTTAAGTACAAATTTGAGCATTTATTAATCATTATTAAGCTATGAGCGAATGATTTACTAATAATGCAATACAATGATCATTCAGCAGCTGTTATCTGTTAGTTAAATCTTTCTGAGAGTTTTTCTAAAGTGAAGACTAATCATGCTTTATTAAACATTTGTTAAGTTTGGTCAAATTCCAGAGAAACAATAATGCATTATTAGTAAATCATTCTCTCATGGCTTAATAATCATTAATAAACACTCAAATTTGTATTTAAATATACATTTACAAATGCACACACAAAAGGTTAGTTCATGAGTAATTAAGTAAGAAATATTTATGAGTAACTATTTACAGCACAGGCGAATTAAGTACAAGTTAAGTACTAATTAAGGTAGTAATTAAGTAGTTACTAAGCGTAAATCATTATCAATTAAGTCTTTGTTCATGATTAATTAACCCTTTGTTCATGCTTTATTAAGGCTAAATAAGGTGTAGTTATTATAAAGTGCTACCAAAAAAAAAAAAATCTATCTTCATGGAACCCAAACCAGATCAAGTTACAGGTCAGATCTATCAGCGGTTCTTCCTGGAGCATGTTTTGGGGGTTTAGTGTCACTGTCATGATTTAGCCTTTATTTTTTATGGAACTGTATCGAATCAAGTTGAAATATCTCGTACCGAATCCTATCAACTTGAAAGCTCGCTGTATCGTATCACGGCCTACGTATCGTATCACAGCCTACATATCGTATCACGGCCTATTCATAGTATCACGGCCTACGTATCGTATCACGGCCTACGTATCGTATCACGGCCTACGTATCGTATCACGGCCTACGTATCGTATCACGGCCTATTCATAGTATCACGGCCTACGTATCGTATCACGGCCTACGTATCGTATCACGGCCTACGTATCGTATCACGGCCTACGTATCGTATCACGGCTTCATAGTATCACGGCCTACGTATCGTATCACGGCCTACGTATCGTATCACGGCCTACGTATCGTATCACGGCCTACGTATCGTATCACGGATTGTATCATGGCCTACGTATCGTATCACGGCCTACGTATCGTATCACGGCCTATTCGTATCACGGCCTACGTATCATATCACGGCCTACGTATCGTATCACGGCCTACGTATCGTATCATGGCCTACGTATCGTATCATGGCCTACGTATCAATATCACGGCCTACGTATCGTATCACGGCCTACGTATCGTATCATGGCCTACGTATCGTATCACGGCCTACGTATCGTATCACGGGCTATATAGTATCATGGCCTACGTATCGTATATCACGGCCTACGTATCGTATCACGGCCTACGTATCGTATCATGGCCTACGTATCGTATCATGGCCTACGTATCGTATCACGGCCTACGTATCGTATCACGGCCTACGTATCGTATCATGGCCTACGTATCGTATCACGGCCTACGTATCGTATCACGGCCTACGTATCGTATCATGGCCTACGTATCGTATCACGGCCTACGTATCGTATCACGGCCTACGTATCGTATCACGGCCTACGTATCGTATCACGGCCTACGTATCGTATCACGGCCTATGTATCGTATCACGGCCTACGTATCGTATCACGGCCTATCGTATCGTATCACGGCCTACGTATCGTATCACGGCCTACGTATCGTATCACGGCCTACGTATCGTATCACGGCCTACGTATCGTATCACGGCCTACGTATCGTATCACGGCCTACGTATCGTATCACGGCCTACGTATCGTATCACGGCCTACGTATCGTATCACAGCCTATGTATCATATCACGGCCTACGTATCGTATCACGGCCTATGTATCACGGCCTACGTATCGTATCACGGCCTACGTATCGTATCACGGCCTACATATCGTATCACGGCCTATGTATATCGTATCGTATCATCACGGCCTACGTATCGTATCACGGCCTACGTATCGTATCACGGCCTACATATCGTATCACGGCCTATCATAGTATCAGGCCTACGTATCGTATCACGGCCTACGTATACGTATCATCGTATCACGGCCTACGTATCGTATCACGGCCTACGTATCGTATCACGGCCTACGTATCGAGATATGTGTCATTTCAGCAACTTCTTAACAATATCTAGCCCTCGGTTTGGGGGCCGGGGGCAGGTGCAAGTTGGGGGCAGGTGCAGACAGGTGTGTGCTGTCAGTCTGTGTTGTGTTGTGTTGTGTTGTGTTGTATCTGCGTTGTGTTGTGTTGTATCTGCGTTGTGTCTCTCTGTTGTTTGTGGGACAAGACACAATGTCCACAAGACACGAGATTGACTCCACGAAACAAAACAACATTTTTACATAATTTTTAAAGTAAAAAGTGTAATTTAATTCCCAAATTTGGTTTCAGAATTTTAATTTACTTCACTTAAATGTGTGTTATCATTCTGTCAGTCTGTCTTTTTGGGAACTGCTGCTTCTCAAAAGATGCAACTCACGGCACTTAACCTTTTTTTTTTTTTTTTTTTGTCCAGTCCAAACAAAGAGATGCTTTTTTTTCTGATTTTGTGTGATTGTGTTCACAGACGGACCTTGAGGGGCAGAGCGCTGGAGCCGAGCAGCAGCAGAGACTCGCCGTCCCACACGTCCACCTGCAGACTGTGGACGCCCAGGTACCTCCAGAACCAGCTCTGCTCGCCGGGCCTCAGGACGGAGCGGTCCACCCGGAACTGCAGCTCCAGACCCGGAGAACCTGCCGGAAAAACACAGGGTCCACGTCAAAAGGCCGGATTACACAAAAGAGACCGGAGCTGTGTTTTGTTTCATTCACGTGTTCGTTGTTTTGCGAGTCTCGATTAAATCTCAAGTTTTTGACCTCAAGTCCGAGTCAAGTCCCAACAAGTCCAAGACGAGGCTCGAGTCACTGGCTCCATGATCCAAGCCAAGTCCAAGTCGTCTGCTTTGAGCTTCATTTCAAGTCTTTAAAACATTTGCAATTTATATGAATTTTAAACTAAATTACCGTATTTTCCAGGACAATAAGTCGCACCAGCCAAAAAATACAAAAAGAAGAAGAAAAAAACATTCATAAGTCTCACTTTTTGGTTGGGGAAATGTATTTTATAAAATCAGAGACCGGGACCCGACATTTCATCTTTAAAGGCAAGTTACAGTAAAAACAATAGAAGAGAGAACAACCGATTTTATTGATCCACAAGGGAAATTGATTGATTGATTGATTCATTCATTCATTCATTTTTATTTTGAGTTTGTGCCAAGAGAGAAACAATAATCATGAACCCACCTCTGTTCATGACATAGTTTCAAAAATGATGTGGCTGCTTCTGTACATTGATCACGGAACTTTACAAATGTTTACATATAGCAAAATAAATTACATATTATGCATAGAAAATATAATAAATGACTTGGACACAGTCGCTCACACATCACATTATATTACAATAACAAAGAGTTAAAAAAAAAAGGTGATAAAGTGCTAAATAAGTAGCAATAAAAAAATAGCAAGCGCCTGGTATCAATAAATCTTAAAAAATTATCTTAAAATGTTTGTATGAAGCCGCTCTACATGATCCTGGGGTTTTTATTTCACAATTTTGTCCGTAAATCAAGATATAAACATTAATAACAGACGAATATATAAGTCACAGGAGCCAAAACATGAAAAAAGTGTGACATAAAAATCTGAAAAATATGGTGCTGTGAGAAAAATGTAGAAAATAACATTCTAGAGTGTTTTTTTTTTTTTAAAATTATTATCATTGTCGTATCAGAATCGGTTTTGAGTATCGAGTGTTTTCTTTAGTATCGAAATCAAGCCTGAAGAGAAACCGTGTGGTGTGAGAAAACGAGACAAATGTGTTTTTGTGAGTGTGTTCTGTCCGAGTGTCACTGACCCTGCGGCCCTCGCTGTGTCTCTGTGTCTGTCTGAACCTGTGTCTGTTTCTGCATCTGTGTCTCTGTCTGTGTCTGTTTCTGTGTGTCTGCGTCTGTGTCTGTGTCTGTGTCTGTGTGTCTCTGTCTGTCTGTGTCTGTGTCTGTGTCTGTTTCTGTGTGTCTGCGTCTGCGTCTCTGTCTGCGTCTGTTTCTGTGTGTCTGCGTCTGTGTCTGTGTGTCTGCGTCTGTGTTTGGGTCTGTGTCTGTTTCTGTGTGTGTGTCTGTGTCTGTTTCTGTGTCTGCGTCTGTTTCTGTGTGTGTGTCTGCGTGTCTGTGTCTGCGTCTGTATCTGCGCCTGCGTGTCTGTGTCTCTGTGTCTGTTTCTGCGTCTGTGTCTCTGTCTATATCTGCGTGTGTGTCTGTGTCTGTGTCTGTTTCTCTGTCTGTGTGTCTGTCTGTTTCTGTCGTCTGTCTGTGTCTCTGTCTGTGTCTGTCTGTGTCTCTGTCTATATCTGCGTGTGTGTCTGCATCTGTGTCTCTGTCTGTGTGTCTGTCTGTTTCTGTGTCTGCGTCTGTGTCTCTGTGTCTGCGTGTCTCTGTCTGTGTCTCTGTGTCTGTCTCTGTCTGTCTGTCTCTGTGTCTGTGTGTCTGTCTCTGTCTGTGTCTGTCTGCGTCTGTGTGTCTGTCTGTTTCCGTGTCTGTTTCTGTGTCTCTGTGTCTGCGTGTCTCTGTCTGTGTCTCTGTCTGTCTCTGTCTGCGTCTGTGTGTCTGTCTGTTTCCGTGTCTGTTTCTGTGTCTGTGTCTGTGTCTGCGTGTCTCTGTCTCTGTGTGTCTCTGTCTGTGTCTGTCTGTGTCTGTGTGTCTGTGTCTGCGTCTGTGTGTCGTGTCTGTTTCCGTGTCTGTTTCCGTGTCTGTGCTGAAGCCCGGCGCCGCACAACAACAGTTTTCCTTTGAGCGAGCGGAGGGATACGCTCGGCTCTCCCTCCGGCGGGGGTGATTAGGCCCGATGACTCCGCCGCGTTGAAGTCCAGCCGCGGCCGAGATGAGCGCGAGCACCCGAGGGCCCCGTCGCCCACGCCGTAATGGGCACTAACCCGGGTGAAACCTGCAGCCACTCGAGCCGAGGAGAGTGATGGATTTAATCATCGCAGGAAAAGAAGAAGAGGAGGAGGAGAGGAATACGGCGTTTCCTGTCTTTCCTGTTTACGTGTGAGGACAGTAACAACATAAGCAACAGAAAACATCCCCGTTAAAACAGATGACTCACAGTTTGTACGACTCCGCAGGGGAAAAGACGAATCTACAATAAAAACTCAATAACACACTGCCCCTCTGCCCCGACTAGTGGACGCTCCAGGTACTGCAGCTCCCGGACGTTTGGGTCCAGGATAAATTCTCCCGTAAAGTGAAACGGTAAAAGGAGAAATTCAAGTTTATTTCCGTCGAAAACGTTTCTCAGCTCATCCAAGCGGCTTCTTCATTTCTGATCAGTTCTAAAGACAGAAAATAAGTGTGTCATTCGTTCATTTGTTTTTCAAAGTAAAACCAAAAATAATAAAACGATTCTTTATTTGTCTCCAAAACCAAAATGAAAAAACAGATAATGATTCATTTTTTGTTTAAATGATTAATGGAAAAATCGGATAACGACCATTTCCCGTTTCTGTGAATTAAACTGTGATGCTGGACCGAACCAAGGACCAGGACTAAACCAGGACTGAACCAGGTCCAGGACCAGACCAGGACTGAGACCGTGATTGAGACCGGGACAGACACCAGGACTGACACCGGGACCAGACCGGGTTCTGTCCATTATCCGTTTTTTTTCCATTATTCATTTAAACAAAATTAAAAATTGAAAAAACAAATCGTAAACAGGAGGCACGGAAACGGACGATGCTCGAGTTTGCAGTGACCATTTTGTAACCTGACGGTCAGGTTTCTCTCTAACCTCTGGGTTTCTCCAGGTTTCTCCAGGTTTCTCCAGGTTTCTCCAGGTTTCTTTCTCCAGTTTCTCCGGTTTCTTCTCCAGGTTTCTCTTTCTGTTCTTTCACCTCCAGTTTCTCTCTGACCTCAGTTTTCTCTGAGTTTCTCTCTGACCTCAGTTTTTCTTCAGGTTTCTCTCTGCCCTCCAGGTTTCACTCTGACCTCCAGCTTTTTCCGGGTTTCTCTCTAACCTCTACATTTCTCTTGGACCTCCAGGTTTTTCCGGGTTACTCACTGACCTCCAGGTTTCTCCGAGTTTCTCTATAATCTCCAAGTTTCTCCAGGTTTCTTAGTGACATCCAGGTTTTTCCAGGTTTCTCTCTGACCTCCAGGTTTCTCTCTGACCTCCAGGTTTCTCTCTGACCTTCAGGTTTCTCTCTGACTTTCAGGTTTCTCTCTGACCTCCAGGTTTCTCTCTCTCCAGGTTTCTCTCTGACCTCCAGGTTTCTCTCTGACCTCCAGTTTCTCTCTCCAGGTTTCTCTCTCCAGGTTTCTCTCTGACCTCCAGGTTTCTCTCTGACCTCCAGGTTTCTCTCTGACCTCAGGTTTCTCTCTGACCTCCAGGTTTCTCTCTGACCTTCAGGTTTCTCTCTGACCTCCAGGTTTCTCTCTGACTTTCAGGTTTCTCTCTGACCTTCAGGTTTCTCTCTGACCTCCAGGTTTCTCTCTGACCTCCGGTTTCTCTCTGACCTCCAGGTTTCTCCCGGTTTCTCTCTGACCTCCAGGTTTCTCTCTGACCTCCAGGTTCCAGGTTTCTCTCTGACTTTCAGGTTTCTCTCTGACCTCCAGGTTTCTCTCTGACCTCCAGGTTTCTCCAGGTTTCTCTCTGACCTTCAGGTTTCTCTCTGACCTCCAGGTTTCTCTCTGACCTCCAGGTTTCTCTCTGACCTCCAGGTTTCTCTCTGACTCCAGGTTTCCCGGTTTCTCTCTGACCTCCAGTTTCTCTCTGACCTCCAGGTTTCTCTCTGACCTCAGGTTTCTCTCTGACCTCAGGTTTCTCCAGGTTTCTCTCTGACCTCCAGGTTCCTCTCAGATTTGTGTGGTTCTGCTTGATCCTGTGGGCTTCCTCTGGGCTGTGAGCTGTGCTTCCTCTTCCTCCGTCTCTCCTGCAGCTCAGACAGATCTCCTCGCGGACTCTTAATCACGATTGTCTGAACGAGACTTTACGAGGAACCTTTAAGAGCCGCGCTGTCGGCTTCAATCTGACTCATTTAAAGGATCTGATCGGAGCTCCTGACCTCCTTCGAACGGTTTTCGCTCGTCGTTATCTTCCTCGCGGCCGGATCTGGTCTGACTCATGCAAACGTGTGTGAGTAATCCTCTGCTGCGTTTGCCTCTTCCACCTATCCCCGCCCACTTTCCCTCAGCCGACGGCTCCGGGTCATGACACACGACGCTCAGAATAACATCATCGCTCCGTCACGTCAGACTCACTCCAGCTGATTGGAAGTCGTAGTTTTTCTCGTGAAAAGCTCAGATCTTAAGGTAATGTTAACAGCAACTAGCATGCCAATTGTACTTCCTGATTCTCTGACAATAAAACTCTTTGGGACGGGACACAGCAGAGACATGAAGAGCTGATTATTATGTCTGTACAAGAGAAAGATCCAAGAGAAAGTCCTGGTTTAGTCCTGGTTTAGTCCTGGTTTAGTCCTGGTTTAGACCTGGTTTAGTCCTGGTTTAGTCCTGGTTTAGTCCTGGTTTAGTCCTGGTTTAGTCCTGGTTTAGACCTGGTTTAGTCCTGGTTTAGTCCTGGTTTAGTCCTGGTTTAGACTGGTTTAGTCCTGGTTTAGTCCTGGTTTAGTCCCTGGTTTAGTCCTGGTTTAGTCCTGGTTTAGACCTGGTTTAGTCCTGGTTTAGTCCTGGTTT